AATCGCTATCTTTTAAGAGATGTTTCTCCCCTATCCAAAGATGTCACAATGGAGTTTAAACGAAAATCTCTTTCAGGATACAATGAAGGTGTTTGATTCAAATTGTGACGATTTGATCAAATCAAGAGAACGTTATATGAGAGAACTTATGATGCCAAGGGAACGAAAGAAGAAGTAGAATGAATATCCATGTTGTTTCTGCAAATGGGCAACATACTTCATATATAAGGAGAAAAGTGTCCGTCGAAATGAATGGGTGTGTCTGTTGGAGAAAAAAATGTTAACTTCCAAGACACAATTCTTCAACATATACATGGAAATCAGAATTGTCAAGTCGATCCACGTTTCGAAGAGGCAAACCAATTTGGTAACCCAGTATAATCTTGTCCAAAAAAAGGGTGTCATCCCACGTTCATTGATTGTAGACTTTATCAATTATTAATCAAAATAATAGTAGATTGTGTTACTGTGCTTCTCAATGTAACGCCCAACGTTAACAGCTTAAAGTGAACCATGACGTTTAAATGTTTGCTATAAATTAATATTAATATGGTATAGAAATCAAATTTATTTATGCAACAAAAATTATCGTTCGAAATAGATCTAGTCTTTAAGGCATTATTCCCAAAACTAGAATCATCTTAAAATCTACTAAATTAATATCAGTTAGTAAGCTCGATAACCTAAGCCTCTACTTAGGAAATGTTATTAGTAAATTTTTAGTAATTATTTAGGAGGACTAATAATAGAGCCACAAAGTGTTTCGATAATAATGAGTCGTAGTTTTTCATATGTAGTTGAAATTAAATTTTAACCGAATAATAGAGTTTAAGGGTCCGTTTGATTGCAAGAGTGGAAAGAAAATGAATTTCAAAGAAAGTAATTGTCTAGAAATTATTTTGTAGGGAGTTGTTAATTAAGTATGTTTGATTGATATAATTTTCTACCCAAAATTTTTTTAAATTTTGAATCTTTTTGTGTCCGTTTGTCTTTATTTTATATGAAAATTATCAATTAAAGTGATAATTTTTTTCACAATTGGTTATAAAATTTATTTCCATTGTCAAAAAGAAAAAAAAAAATTTCCTAAAAAAATCATTTTTTTTAATTAAAGTTTAGTGTTCATTTGACT